TCCCTTTGTCATCGGCATGTTACTTGCCCGAGATTCCATCACCGGTATCTTCATACCTAGGTCAATCTCGTTACCGGCAAGTCTCTTTACTCATTCCGTAATGCATCATCCCGCAACTAACTGATTAGTCATATTGCTTGCAAGGCTTATCATGATGTGCATTACCGAGAGGGCCCAGAGATACCTCTCCGATACTCGGAGTGACAAATCCTACTCTCGATCTATGCCAACCAACAAACACCTTCAGAGATACCTGTAGAGCATATTTATAATCACCCGGTTACGTTGTGACGTTTGATAGCACACAAGGTATTTCTCTGGTATCCGGGAGTTGCATAATCTCATAGTCGAAGGAATATGTATTTGACATGAAGAAAGCAATAGCAATAAAACTGAACGATCGATATGCTAAGCTAACGGATGGGTCATGTCCATCACATCATTCTCCTAATGATGTGATCCCGTTCATCAAATGACAACACATGTCTATGGTTAGGAAACTTAACCATCTTTGATTAACGAGCTAGTCTAGTAGAGGCTTACTATGGACATTGTGTTTTGTCTATGTATCCACACATGCATCAAGTTTCCGGTTAATACAATTATGGCATGAATAATAAACATTTATCATGATATAAGGAAATATAAAATAACAACTTTATTATTGCCTCTAGGGCATATTTCCTTCAGCTTATTCAAGTCCAGAATTCCAGCTGCCGGTATTCTCCTTCTTTTGTGTGAACCTTGCATAATATGAGAGAAAAAGCATTAGAATTACTATAAAAAGCATTATTATGCATAAAAACATTATAAATAATAGTAGGTAAACATGATGCAAAATGGACGTATCAACGCCCACACGAGCGGCTTGTTGTTATAGCACCAAACGCTGCCATAACACCAACACCATTCTCCACGTCTCGCGCGAATGCTGCCACGACAGTCGATCCATGCTCACCTAACTTCGCTGGCATGGCGCCGGATCCGCCAACACCTAAACCTCCTACCCGACCCCGGAAACTGCTGCCATGGCAGCCGATCCGCACCCTCCTAATTCTGCTACCATGCCACGGATCCCGAGCCAGCTCCCAACACCACCCACTCCCCTCGCACACCCACTGCCCGTCGTCGCGCTCCCCCGCCACCTCCCAGCCATACCATGCAAACCCGCGTGCAGGCTGGTAAATTCCTCCCAAACCCTAAATACCACAACAACCTCTACCACCACTAGCACCTCCATCTCCCCCTTCCCAAAGAGTGTGCATGCTGCTTTGTGCGATCCATGTTGGTTGTCTAGAATTTAGGTGGAGTACAGGGCCTTGATGGAGAACCAGACGTGGCGGCTCGTTCCCCGACCAGTCGGTGCCAACATCGTCAGCGACAAGTGGTTGTTCCGGCACAAGTTCAAGGTCGACATCACTCTGGAGTGGTTCAAAGCCCGATGGGTCATTCGCGGCTTGTCCCAGCCTCTCCCCTGTGGTCAAGGCTGCCACCATTCACATGGTGATCATGGTTGCTGCTTCCCGCAACTGTCCTGTTCACCAGATGGATGTGAACAATGCGTTCCTCCATGGCCGCCTCTCCGAGCAGGTCCTCTGTCAACAGCCAGCCAGATTTGTCAATGCCGCCCACCCCGACCACGTTTGTCTTCTTGATAAATCATTGTACGACCTCAAGCAGGCGCCTCACGCTTGGTTTGCCCACTTCGCTACGTATGCTCGCCGGATCAGCTTCTCCAACACCCACGCAGATCCCTTGTTGTTCGTTCCCCACAACAACGGTGGCACGACGTATCTACTTTTGTATGTTGACGACATCATCCTTGTCGCCTCGTCGACTGCACTTCTTCAACACCTGCAGCGACAACTCTTTGCGAAGTTCTGGATGAAAGATCTCGGGCCCCTGCACTACTTCCTGAGTATCACTGTCACCCGCAGCGAGCGTGGCTTCTACCTGTCGCAGCGCAAGTACGTAGAGGAGCTGCTCGAGCGTGCCAACATGCATGCCTGCAAGCCCGTGGTCACATCGGTGGACATCCGCGCCAAGCTCTCTACTTCCGACGATGCACCCGTCTCTGATCCTTTGGAGTACCGCAGACTCGTCGGTGCGCTATAGTACATGACCATGGAAAATAATCCTGTCATGAAATGTCGGGTAGGTGCTCGGCCATGATGTTTGGGGCCAACGAGCACGCAGTGGTCCACGCGTGGGGCCACAAACTGCCTCTCGACGGCCAAATCTAGCATGAGCTCCAGGGGCCTCAGCAACGAAGTTGTTTTGTATTTTGATGGAAGCTGTGAGGCAACGAAGGTGAGAAAAGTGGAATCATAGGTTGTCGTCGATCTTTCTTTTCTTCCTTGGCGACGAGGGAGGCCTCCTCCTCCGCTTGCTCCTCCTAAAACATCTACAACCCCTCCTCCGACTGTGACACCCAATCGACCCGCAGGGGAACCAACACCCACGGTGGCTCCCGGTTTAGGGAGCTGTCCCTGAATCCGGTTTCGCTCACTGACGATCACTTCTCGGCGTCAGACTTCTTGCTTGTTGTGGCAAGCGAAGGTTTGGTGTTGTGCGGCAGCCACTGGATGTGCGGGGTAGGATGATGATTATGCACGTACTGTTTGCAAGGAGGAGCCTCGTGGGCTTTTAAGCCGTAGTAGGCTTCTAGGTCATGGCACGGCCAATAATGCGGGTAGACGGGAGGCGGATCTACCAGAGTGAATGGGGGCAGGCGGGATGCTCGTGTGTTGCAGTGAACCCGTTAGACCGGAGTGGACATGGTGCGGGAAGCCGCATTGGCAGAGTATGACGTGACATCCATCTGAACTCTCCAAACTCCTTGTAATTGGCGCAAATTTGCGGGATTTTAGTCGGGACAAATTTGGTAACCGCCATTGAATGGTCAAAAGTGTGTGGATGGCCCGGTCCAGATATTTGTGGGTAATTTAATGATCAACGTTGAAGTTGCTCTAAGATAAACATGGGTTTTCAGAGCAACCTTGTTGAGCAGTACATAGAAAAACAAAACAAATATATGAGAGAGTAGAGAAGTAACTCAGGTCTAACCTGACCATCTAGGTCGACACGACCCGTCAAGCCTCGGATAAGGCAAGGCACAGCACAACCCATGTCGGCCTTTCTATAAAAAGGATGCGTCGTGCCAACTCGAAGAGTTTGGATGGAGGATCGGCCCCGCACACCGACCCACATTAAAAAGGCCAAAAAGGACATAAAAGGCCTAAACTACCAAAAAAGACCTAAAAGGCTTAAACATCCCTAAAACAATTGTAGAAATACCCTAAAACGTCCAAAACAGCTCTAGAAAACCCCTAAAATGGCGCCACAGTTAAAAGGGTCGTGTCAGGCCACCCTTAAAGCTTGACCTTAGGAATCAACACTGGCCCATGGCGTGCTGAAGGCCGGCCCAACCCATGTATCCGCGTGCCACTTCGTGCCGTGCCAAAAAATACATGCCGCGGGCTGGATTTATAAGCACGACCCATATGGCCAGGTTTGTCCAGGTCTCATCATTTTAGATCCAAAATGGTGGTACTCCCTCCTTTTCGGTTTATAGGGCTTGAATTTAAAATCTCGTCAATCAATGCAGATGATGAGTGGAGTATCTCATAATTTATAAAATTACTCAAACTTTAATATGGATTAATTACAATATATGCATGGATGACCACCAAATGAGTAGGAATAGTTACATGCACTGGTTGGTTTCTTTTAATCTTTGCATGCATCAATTTAATGCAACTTGGATTGTGAACATGTGGTGGAATGAAGTGAAAATAAGACTTATAGTATGGTAAAACCAAAAAAATGAGATGAGCCCAATAAACCAGAGAGAAGGAAGTACTATGTTACAAAGATAATGTCTCTAAAAATAAGGAAAAACTACGCTACAAAGATCAGACTCCTGCACATGAGACCTCTTTGCAGAGATACAAATTATATCAAAATTATTGGCAGACAGCTTAGGATTCAAGAGCAAGTACACAAGGAAACAAGGGGTGGTGGAGTGGCGTACAGACCAAATCATTCAAAGAAGCACGAAAACCAGCCTCCCTACACAAATAAAAAGAAACCGAAAGAAAAGGTGGCCTCCATGACCAATCGAGGAAGAAAAAGGTCCCATCTTGTTTATTGCTTCAATTATGGCAGCAGTTTTGCCGTGCAGGCCGAAATAATTTCCTCTTGCCCCCCACCAGCTTTTGCTCAACCTGCTTCCCATATGCAATTATTAAATATCTCCCCATTTTTTTACTATCAAGGATTCCCTTCTTTATATTATGAAAGAAAGAGAAAAGAGAGAAAATAACAATATTTGCCACTTGCTACGGGTAAGCTGTCCCCGTGTGGTTCCCCGTTTCCTGGCTATTTAAGGCCTCCCATCCCCTCCTACCCTTTCCTTCCTCCCATCGGCACGCCCATCCCGCTCCTCTCATAATCCTGAGAGTTTCTTCTTTTGTTTTATTTTTATTTCTTGGTAGGAGTAACAATAGTTTTGGCTCTCCTCCTTTCTCTCCCCCTGTATCCAAGGAGAGAAATCCAGAGGCGAAGCTTCAGGTAAACATCAACCTCCTCTCCCCCATCTCTCTATTTATCTCTCTCCCTCTAGTTTCTCATCTTCTGTTGGGGATCTGTGTTGTGTGGTCTGGGGTAGAGGTGAGGCTCGTTCTTTCTGTTTTCTTGATAGGTTTTGTTACAGATCTTGGGAACCCACCACATGTTCTTGCAAAAAGAGAGAATAAAACCGAGAGGATTTGTTCTTCTGTGACAAATCTTCTGGAAGGTTCCAGTTTCTTTTGATTTCTTTCTGTGTGGGTGGGGAAAAATCAGATTAGTTAGCAAATGTTTTTTGGTGTCTCGTTCGTGTGAAGATTGAACGATTTTAGAGGTGAAACTGAGCAATTTCTTTGGCTGTTCTTGTTCTTGCAGGGTCTGTAAATTTTCCGGATCTAATCAACTAACCGAAAAAACCCAAAAAAGAAACCATGAGCCACTTCGCCGCCATGAAGAGCCCCGTCCCGGTCGCCGCCGCTGCCGCTGCCGCCACCGACGCGAAGAGCCCGCTCTTCTGCCCCAAGCCGCGCCGCCCGGTCGCGCCCCTCCGGTGCCACCAGAGCGGCCACTCTGACGCGGGCGCCGGCATGGATCTGCTCGACCTCCTCCTATCAAAGGTGAGTTCTTTCTCCGCCTCGGCCCAAGATCCATGATTTCCTCGCGTGGCTTCTCCAACGGGTCGCTGATGTTTCTGCTCCGGTTCTTGCAGGGCGACGAGAGCAATCTTTCCGCGGCGTCCCCTCAGCCGCCGCTGTTCTGTGGCTCGCCTCCGCGGCGGGCCTCGAACCCGGTGGTCCACGACAGCCGGTTCGGCATGGACTGCCCGTCCAGTCCCCTGCCATGGTGGCCGGTGATGTCGCCGGTCACGCCAGCGCCGGTGGTGGTCCGTCCCACCCCACGCCCGGCGGGACCGCCGATGTCGCCCCGTTCCTCGGCTGGGTGCGCTCGCGTGTTCCAGCCAGCCGTCCGCGTCGAGGGTTTTGACTGCCTCGACGGTGGCCGTAGCGGCCGTGGCCATGGCATCGCCGCCATGGTCTAGATGCACATACAACATCGAATAACCAGGAAATCTTCTCCCCTCAGTAGTGCAAAAGCTTTGGGAGGGAGAGAGATGAGAGTGAGGAGATGAGTGAGAGGAGCTTAAGTCCAAAATTTAACCCCTAAAAACTATATAATCCATCAATCAAATCCCATAAGTATAATGAGTCTAGGTAATTTTACCACAAATCTTTTTGTATGTAAATAAATTTCAGGTTCAGATGCAGGTGCCCTTCATGTAAATTTGGGAGCTCTAGTTTGGGGGGACGGGGTAGAAGAAATCTAGAAGGGGGGATCTGGGACAGAGGGCACGAGAAACACGAAGTTTAGCCCTCTTTGTATGAATCAATTTTTTCATGAGTCCCTTTGCCTTCCTTCTGGATTAGTCATTCAATTAGGTTGGAGGGAGGGGTTGGGAATTAGTTAGGTACCTGTCCTAGTTCATCTGTCATCATGCTTATTTTTGGTTTATGATGGAATTGTTTTTGTCCATGCAACCAAGAAATCCAGGGCCAGCAAGGCCATGGAGATGTGTACAAAAGAGTGGCTACCAGAAGAGAAGAGAGAGCAGCTAGGTTTAAGTCAAGTCAATGAGTGAGTTGTGTGAGAGGCATGAATGATGTATTCCTGATATCGTTTTCTCTGTATATGTAATATATCGTTTCATTGAAGCAATATGTGTAATATCTCATGCCATGATTATCACCATCCCTTGTGACATCTTTTATTTTTTGGAATTTTTCGTCACCTCTCAATTTCTTGGTGGTTGGAGCCCCATCACAACACATGGTTTCCATGTGCTCAACCAACACGTAGGTGATAAGGATGCTGACTAGCCAATGACTAATGCAAAATAGCCTCCCTGAGTGGCTAATAATCTCAAGCTGGCTCATGGGGATCTGAAGGGCCAAAGATGAAATACCATGGTTTTTCTTGTGGCCTTCACCCCAAGTGTGTCCTTTTCTTTGAGATGTACTAGATGTGGTACTACTACTAGTACTGAATCTTTTGTGTTGAATCCACTGGATTTATTGGGGCGGTCAATCAATCAACCAAGTTGTTGACGCAGATGCTCTGCCAACAGCTGCAACGGTGAACAAGTTGCACTATTTACCACCAGTAAAATACAGGCCGAAAAAGCATGCAGCACACGTTCTTATCTTGCCACCTGCTGCGAGTCAAAAGCCACATGCTTTGTGGCGTCTTGTGCCTGCCACAAGGTGAGACGTAGATGCAGTGATCTCACCTCAAAAGGTGTGAGGCTGGGAGGGAAAAGGAGGCAGGAGGATGCAAGCAAGCAAGCAAGGGGCATGGCAACTTGAGTGCACTTGAGGACAGATTCAAACGCAGGATTTCACCGGAAGTAAAGTAATCTTTGTTTGGATCTCAGGCCAGGCCTTTTCGAAAGGAGAATATATAGTAGACCCTGAAGATGCTTGAGATATTTTTGTTTATGTCTCAGACTGACTCAAACACAGAAACTGAAGGAAATAAAAAGACCCATGTATAGATATATTTTTGATTTTTTTTCTGTCTATTTACACTTCTCAGTTACTGCTGCTCTGATTTTCCCTCGCCATGTTTAAAGTAAGACACAACATAAGCTCTTGACTCTTGATAGCTGCATTTTGCGCCCTGCTGGTTTTTTGTCAAATTGGTTGTCAACCTCACACTTTCGGCTGCAATTGGAGCACAATCAGTGGAATCAGAGCTAACCTAAAAGCCCATGACGCCCCCACCCGTCAGGTGCTTGTCTGTCCTTTTCAACAAAAAAAATGTTTTAGCTTTAAAAATGCATGATGACCGTTCAGCCGTCCAACTGGCAAGCTCCAATGCGGGAGGAAAAGAAAATGGTGAGGAAAGAGAATACTCCCCCACACATTATACTCCCTCCGGTCCATTTTTACTTTGCATGCAAGGATTCTCTAAAGTTAAACTTTGTAAAGTTTGACATATTTACATGAAAAAATATCAACATCTACAATACTATAGTTAAAATATATGAAAATTAAATTCATGACCCATTTGATGATGTTGATTTCGTATTGTCAATTGATATTTTTAATATATAGTTGGTCTAACTTTATGATATTTGACTTCATACAAATCTTATATGTGAAGTAAAAAAGAACCGACTCTCCCTCGGCTCGCAGCACCCATAGCTCCACTCGCCACCCTCATCCTCTCCGGCGGACGATGCACCCCGCTCCACCTCGTCTCGCTCCCCATGGATCCTCCTCGACCCCGTCCTCCTCCCCGACCGGAGCCGGGCAGCCGCAGATCCGGTGCCGGCATCCCCTCCCCTCCACGTCAACGACCCGTCCTGCGCCTCCACCCCGCCCCCTCCCCCCACCCCCCGCGCGCGCCCGTCACGGACGGGCTGCGGCTGGTCCGGTGGATCCAGCGACGGACCCCTCCTGGCCTCCTCGCCTTCGCCATCGCGGGTCCCTGCCGGGAAGAACCTCCACTCGGGTGCCCCCACCCTCTGTCCACCTCGGACGCCGCCGGTTCCTACCGGGAAGGGCCTCCACTTGGCAGTGCCCCCACCCCCCTGTCGTGGTACAGCGGACCCCGCTACTCCACTACCCCACCTCGTCTCCACCCTCCTCACTGGCGGCCTGCTCCACTCGTCCTTCCTCGGTTCACCACCATCCGCCTCACATGTCCGTCTCGGTCCTGTCCTCTGTTGCCCCTCGTCTCCACTTGGATGGCGGCCCACCATTGACGGATGTGCTACGGGAGAAATCCCCGCTGACCTTGTCAGCTGACCACGACGGTGCTACTCCAGCGTCGCTTACCCTCTTGGGGGCGTGGCTCATGTGCCACTCCTGTCTCTCGGTCCGGATTCGCAGCTCTCGGCTCTTCCCTCTGGGAATTTAACCGGTTATGCTCCAGGCGAAAGCTCTATGACGGCGTCATCCTCGGATGTCGTCCACCTTCTTGAAGGCGTCACTAGGGAGCTCCTTGCCGCTATTCATCCTCCGTTGCCCTTGGGGGTTGGTCATCCTCTGCTCTGCTAGCTCAAGACCCTCTCATGTCTGTCGTCTGTTTTGGTGAGCTTCGTGCTCTTCGTGCTACCTCGGTTCATCTTTGCTCAACTACGACGCAACGATGCCTCCCCACCTTGCTAATTGTGTCGGCTTGCTGTGGCGGAGCTTCCAGTTAAGGTTCGTCATGGGTCACTCGTTGATTGGTGCTGCTCCTCTGTTGTGCCAAGGGGTTGGTACGCACGCCGGTGTGGTGCGTTAGGATAGTTGTTTAGTGTTGGTATTGTGATTCCTCGACGACACACCACTTCCACTCGACTTTTATGGTGGTGGTCTCTTGGCTTGCTGGCTAGGTAGTGCTTTCTTCGGGGCGTCTCTATATGTTCTCACCCTATGTAATCCTTCCTCCTGTGCGGTTTTTTGGCCCGGTTTCCCTTATAAACGGGGTCAACCTGTTAAGGTTTTCGATCCGGTTTTCCTTATAAACTGGATCAAACACTTGATATTTTGGCCACTTTGAGCAATATATTCAGGTGGGGACTCTCTCCCCCTCGGTGACCGTTCAAAAAAAAGTAAAAAAGAACCGGAGGGAGCACCTCTCAAATCCTCCTTATACATCCGGACGGACGACCCAGTCAATGTCTGGTCACAAAAGCTCGACCCAACCAAACCCTTAAATCGGCCCTAAACGTCTGGGCTGTCCAACAACCCCCAATTCCCAGCTCATATTTGGGGTAGATATGAGCCGAACAAGACACACCCGGACGCAACCACCACACTGGACCGACCCACGCTGACCCACTTCGACCCCATCCCGTCCCCACAAAAAACCACCCAGACCAAACCCTAGTCCCCACTCTCTCACTCTCTGCTCCCCTCCACTGCTCGCCTCCTGCTACCTCTTGAGCACTGCGTTCGTTTTCCCTTGAAGAGGAAAGGGTGATGCAGCAAAGTAGCGTAAGTATTTCCCTCAATTTTTGAGAACCAAGGTATCAATCCAGTAGGAGGCCACGCGCAAGTCCGCACCTACACAAACAAATAAAATCCTCGCAACAAACGCAATAAAGGGGTTGTCAATCCCTTCATGGTCACTTACAAAAGTGAGATCTGATAGATATGATAAGATAATACTTTTGGTATTTTTATGATAAAGATTTAAAGTAAATAAAGCGAAATAAAAATGGTGCAAGAAATAGCTTGTTGACGGAAGATTAATATGATGGAAAATAGACCCGGGGGCCATAGGTTTCACTAGTGGCTTCTCTCGAGAGCATAAGTATTACGGTGGGTAAACAAATTACTGTTGAGCAATTGACAGAATTGAGTATAGTTATGAGAATATCTAGGTATGTTCATGTATATAGGCATCACGTCCGAGACAAGTAGACCGACTCCTGCCTGCATCTACTACTATTACTCCACACATCGACCGCTATCCAGCATGCATCTAGAGTATTAAGTTCAAAAGAACAGAGTAACACTTTAAGCAAGATGACATGATGTAGAGGGATAAACTCATGCAATATGATATAAACCCCATCTTGTTATCCTCGATGGCAACAATACAATACATGCCTTGCTGTCCCTACTGTCACTGGAAAAGGACACTGCAAGATTGAACCCAAAGCTAAGCACTTCTCCCATTGCAAGAAAGATCAATCTAGTAGGCCAAACCAAACTGATAATTCGAAGAGACTTGCCAAGATAACCAATCATACATAAAAGACTTCAGAGAAGATTCAAATATTGTTCATAGATAAACTTGATCATAAACCCACAATTCATCGGTCTCAACAAACACACCGCAAAATAAGGTTACATCGAATAGATCTCCACGAGAGAGGGGGAGAACATCGTATTGAGATCTAAAAAGAGAGAAGAAGCCATCTAGCTAATAACTATGGACCCGAAGGTCTGAAGTAAACTACTCACACATCATCGAAGAGGCTATGGTGTTGATGTAGAAGCCCTCCGTGATCGATGTCCCCTCCGGCGGAGCTCCGGAAAAGGCCCC